AGCCATCAGCAGCTACCAGTGTAAGCAGGCAGAATTCTTGCATGTCCTCTGCTGTGTAAAAATTCGACTCCCTTGGCAACCAGGTTCTAGCAGTTATCTGGAACCAAACACCCAAAATCAGAGGCCTCACTTTAAATACTGACAAAAAAGAACAAGTGTCTTGTTCCAAATATGTGTTCCCAATACCCTTGCACCTCAGCAAAAATATCCTACACGAAGAATGTAGCACATTTCTGTCTCCATATACACTGTAAATATATAGTGTTGAATTTTAATCACAGGAACGATACCAAAAAAATGAAGTAGAATATGGCTAGGAAAGTGCGCAAATTTCAGAAATTAGTGAGACTCACAGACTAATTACCTTCCATAGTGTGTTCTGAAGGGGGATAGGGAAATGAGGGAGACTCAGACATCCACTATCACGTTTGCAGAACCTGATTATCCAAAGGAAAATATTCTTGGTCCCAAAACAGAGGGGTTTTGTCTACTGCTTTTGGTTTGACTGTACTGATAATCCAGGGGCAATGCATTTGACGCTCATCTCTTCCATAATAATTTCAACTCTGAGGACAAGCATCAAGTGCACTGTTTCTCCACCAAAACCTGTGTTCTCCCATGCTTTTTGTGTACAGTAAGTACTTCTTGGAGGTGATCATCCACAGCTCAATATCCCACTGTGGCCACAGCATATGGCTAAGAACCGGCAATTTCAGCAGAGCCTTGAAACAGCTGACAAGGTTAAAAGCAGATTAAGGAAGGAAGAAAATCAGAATCTGTGCTGTATTAAAAGAGTCTTACCCATGACACAGATGTTTCTGCTCAGAGAACAGATTCAGAAGATGTTGGGATTTGGAAGGAACTGCATTTGTTTATGATTCTCATATAAGAAATATTTTACTGTATCTGCTCTTTCAAGGATTTAATATTCTATTTATGATCCTTGCAGATTACACAGTTAAATATTTCAGCTGACGAGTGGATCCCTTCCAACACAGAATATTCTGGGAAATCTAAAATGTGGTGACTGGCATACTAGACACTTCAAGCTGCCTGATATCAGCAGCCTTAAGCTAGTGTCTCTGCAGAGCTTGCCAGAGTGAATGCACATTGTTTTCAAGTTGTATTTGTTTGTGCCATTGGAGAGGTTCCATCTGAGATATGAAAGGACGTTCATCACCTTCACCAGTGCAAGATAAGATGCTGTCCCTGTGGTTTTAATCTCCCTATTCCCACATGGATTTAACTGGCCTATTGCAGCAGTCCCATCTTCCTCACAGCCTAGTTCTGCAGAGATGTCTGTGGGCTCAGGAACCAGCACTCAGGTTTGTGGCACATTCAAGTACACATCTTGGAATTTCTATAGGCCATCTTGTGCCACTCAAATTAAGAATGGGAATAAATTAATCTTTCTTAGGATCAACTAAGCTGTAAAGACGTGGAAAGACTATTTACCATCTAGTCTGTGCCTTCTCTCAAGCCCCAAATGTGCATGTATGTTCAGAAGACAGCCTTGAAGTGAGCTAGGAAACACAGATTAGATGAAGAAATAGGTCTCATCCCTTATAACTCAGCTAGTTTCCCTAAAAATTGACAAACATGGTGACAGAGCAATGGCCTATTGTGTGACAGGATCCAGAGGAGCAAATACATCCCTCCCCCAGTAAAATAAGACAAATCGTCCCGAGTTCTCCCTCTCAAACCCACAGACTTTCTGCTGTATCTGTGAAGGATCCTGTAGCTGAAGTGTAAGAGGTAATTATAACATCATTTGCATCTTCTGATTGTCATATAAGAGGCAGAAGAGACCTGCCAGACTTACCTTCTGAAAATATGCAGTTCTGAAGGGTGTATATTCAGTTCAGAGCAGCCAACATGAGAGATAGGAGGTTCTCCATAATTTTAAATTGTACTTACCAAGGAGAGGGGATGGCACAGTGTAGATTTACTGCTGCACAATCAGTCCCAGAGTGACTGAAACAGAAGACAAATAATCAAACTAGAGCTCCCCAGAGAAGAAGGCTGAAGACAATACCAGGTAACTGTCTTATAGGACCTCACACTTTCTGTCTCATTAATTATGGTATTTAAATAGTACTTAACACAAAGAATGGAAATAGAGAAATTCTATAAACTGGAATGAGTCCTCATTTCTCATTTGCATCTGTGAAAAACAGAGCAAATGTATTTCTTAGCGCCTTTTTCCCCCTTAGAGCTAAGTAAACAAAAAACCTGTAATAAACCACTGCATTTTTTTCATTTTAAGGTTTTTTTTTAAAAAAAAGAGATATTTTTAGAACATAGATGAAGTAAAGAAATGTTTTACCATTCTTGACAAAATGTTCTGGATTCTATTCACTGTTTCCAAAAGTCAATATATAAACATACTCCCCGATAACTAAAGTGGCATGGAACCTCATGGTTCAGCTTGCTGCCTTTCAGGTTTATTTGTTGCATTAGTGCAGACAACTCAGTCTCCTCCTGATCCCTCTAGATGCCAATTTTCAGCATCCTACAATCACTAATGGCTCTCATTATGCTTCTCTAGAACACACCCTAATCCTAATAAGCACCTAAAATTGTCAAGTCATATAAACTCTCCTGTTGTGGCTTAGACAAATAGTCGAGCATGTCTTTTTGTCTTCATCAGCTGTATCCACCAATTCCCTGAGGTATTTCACAACTCAGTCTGAGGGCAAGAGATTTATTATTTACAATACTATTTTCTTTCTCTTCAAGAACTTTTAAAACCAAAAGCTGATGTAGCATTCTAGCAACAGAACTTAGTTAGGTGATATAAATGCTGCTGAACACTCCTTCATTTTGTTCCACAGTTTGTTGGGGGTTTTTTTGCTGTGAAAAATAAACAGAAATCCCTCAAGAGAAAAAAAATATCACAATCTCCAAGGTATTCATACAACAACAAGCCAAAACCAAAAATCCTACAACCGCTTTTACTGTCATATATTTTTCCAAGGTTCTGATTTCTTCATATTCTACATGAGGGAGAAAACAGGAATTAACTCTATCAGTACACACGTTACAATTAAACTATCTTATGCTTAATATTTTCTTCCATTTTACTAAGTACACACGTGTATCTGACCTTTCCCTGAATTGTTTGTGCATGAGTTATATTTGTTTATCATGGCATACATGATAACACACAGCCTTCAATCAGCTCAAAGTAGCTTTTACTGGGTGGGTGTTAGGCTACATGTACAAGGATTAAAATCTTAGGTGACATTTGGAGAGCTTGATTCTGCTGGTGGGGTTCCTACAGGGACAAGTCTTCCCCACCATGAGCGCGTGACTGTGAATTCACATGGGTAGATATAATACAAATATCCCTACTGTTGGGAAGGGAGATGGGAAAAGGGGAGAGCAGATGTGTCGAATTTCTGTTGAGCTTCCTGCAGCCAGACAAATGAGGCAGCTGAAGAGAAAAACACCACATTTTTCGGTGTAAAAAATTAACCTATGATGTTATTGTCGCATTGGGAAACAGTTCCTTGGAGTTCTATGATTTCGTTGTTACAATGTTGACACAGCGTGAGGCCACAGCTGGTGGTCCTCACATTTGATAGCTAATTTGCCTCCTTCTCATCTCATCCTCATTTTTTCCAAACAATTGAGTTTATCAGGTATTTCTGCCTCTTGTCTCTTCCTTTGTTTTTCTTTCAAATCAGCAACAGCCCCCGCGGGGCGTGGGCAAGGGGCGGAACAGACGGGGAAAAAGCACACGAAGTGCGGGAGGTGATTTCAGTAGCCGAGATGCCGAGGAGAGGAGGGTGTGAAAGGCTTGTGTGAGGCACAAGGGGCAGAAAAAATCCCCCTTCTCCAGAGAACGCTGTTAATGCTCCTTGCCCGGCCGGGCACTCCAGCTGCGGAGAGACCCGCCCGTGCCTCTCCTGGCTCCGTGTCTCCCTCAGGCAAACGCAGCCGCTCCCACCGACCCGGGCCGTGTGGCTGAGCCCACAGCAGAGCTGCGATTTTATCACCCCCATGGCCCATGTCCACAGAGCTGCCTCGGCAGCAGGGGTGCGTTCCTGCCTCCCTCACCCCACAGCGCTACTGCCACCGGGACCGGGGCGTTCCAGGGCGGGATCCCCGCCCTTCCCTGCTCCATCCCGGCCGCGGGGGGCCGCTGGCGCTCTCGGCTCGCACACTCTCCACCCGCACTCGCCTGGCTCGCCGCTCCTTCCCGGCTCTCCCCGGTGTTCCTCGCACGCTGTGGAGCGGCCCCAGCGCTCCCTCTTGGCGCACCCTCCGCTCTGCGCGGCCTGAGCCGTCAGCCGAGCCGGCGGCGCCCCGGGGAAAACCCGCTTGGGAAACGGCAAAAACGCCCGGCGGGCGGGGGAGCGAGGGGGAAACCGCAAAGGGAGGAACAACGGTGCGAGTGCCGAGGTGAGCGGGCGCGGCGGGGGCTCGCGGGGCCGAGCAGGTGGATGGTGTTGGTTGGAGGAACTGCGGCCTGCAGGAGGGACCCTGGAGCAGCGAAACAGCGTGAGGAGCGGGACCGAGCGCGAGCGAGGGGTGGTTACGGACTGACCCCAACCCCCGTTCCTTCTCGCTGGGCTGCTCCACAGGAGGAGGTGGAAGAGTTGGGAATGAAGATGAGCCTGGGAAAAAGGGAATGTGTGGGGAATGGCGATGTTTTAATTTTTGGTTTTGTTTCTTACTATCGAAGTCTATTTTAATAGGCCAGAAATACTAGACATCTATTTTAATAGGCCTGGTTCCAGCCATTAACAAGGTAATTTTTGCAGTAGCCAGGACCCCGATGTTATTTTATACCACCTCACAAGGAGGGCAAGGGAAAAGGGAGTCCCTTCTGAGTTAGTGTAGCAAGGCAGAGGGAGCAATCCAGTGTCTTTTCACCTCTTTCTTGTACCCCCTGTTGTTAGTATTGCTGCTGTTACTGTTTGGTATTTTTATCTCACTGCTGTTTCCAGTAAATTGTTTTTATCTCACCTTTTTGTGCCTCCAGCTCTCCTCACCAACCAACTGCAGTGGGAAGGGGAGGGAGAACAGGGAATGAGTGAGTGAGTGGCGCATGGCTTCGAGAGTTTCAGTGGGAGTACTAAATTGGGGAGTACCATTTCCAAACCACAACATGCCCCTGATGGTAATCGGTAAGTTATCTCCCTACCTTTTGTCTCCATACATGAGCTGTTTCACCTCATTTTCTCCCTTCATCCTGTTCAGGAGTGGGAGAGCATCAGGATGGGTATTTCACAGACAGCCAAAGTCAGCCTGCCCATCCCCACTCATGTCCTTGTCTCATAAATCCCATCACAAAGAATGACAGACAACAACACCCAAAAGACCGGGACCACTGTCCCTCTGTCATGGGGAAGATTTTGACCACTTAAAGAACCATTGCCAAAGGTATCAGCAGTAGTGATTTTATTGAACTAAGATATTGTAAAAGTAAAACTTAACAAATGGCAAGTTTCGTTCTGTTATTTACTGCACAGAGTTATGATTCAAAGCTACCAATGCAAAATCTTAAGTGTGCTGTAATACAGGGTTGTGCACTATATTGGTCATTTTACCAAAGCGGTTGGTAAAGGGTGTTTCGGCCTCTAGAAGCAACCTGAGAGGTGTCCCACCTCCAAGGCAGATCACCCCATGCAGCAAGCTGCTTAGCAGGGAGAGGTCAGAGAAAGCTCTCTTAAGCTGTAATATTTATGGAATAAAGCAGTTGGCTCACAGCCAAATTACAGGTGATGGAAAAGGTAACTCTAAGACTCCTTGTACCTACAGTTCCCTGTGTTCCTTGACAAATGAGTCTTGGAAGAACCACCTGCTATTTTGTTAGTCACATATTGGGTGTTCCAGTTTCCAAGCTCGAATGCATCAACGTTCACCATGTCACCCTGTTCCTGCGTGGGCTATCAGAGAACAGCTTGACACTAGGGATGTTCTTAGCCAAGTCATGGTCTACGCCTTTCCTGCCTTTGGAGCCTGAACCAAACTACCATTAGTTTGGCCAAGGGGTTGGATCCATCCATCGCACCTGGCTCCAGAGGACCCCCTGCACCTTTGGGCCAGGGGATGCAGAGATGACAGCATTTTTTGTATTTTGTGAGTCACTGCAAAGCAGAAATGTGGCAAGGCCACATCTCATTTTATGGCATTTTAGTCCCCATTCCTTTTGCCTACCTCATACTGACCCTTCTGGGATTTGGAACAACCCTGAAAGAAGCAAAAGGCTGTTCCACCCACCTCATCCATGCATGCCATTATGCAGCCAGGAGACATGGGGCTTGCACTTTGGCCACCTAGGCCCCACAACTAGCTGCTTTCTCCTCATCTGCCTGGGAGGCTTCTTGGGGTGCCAGGATTGAAAGGAGATGCAGGCAGAATGGGGCAGCAGGGCAACTATGCCAGGAGGTGCAGAGGAGAAGTTGGCTGGTACCCTTGAACCTTGTCTTAAACAGCTCTAAGTCTCTGTTTCTATTGGGAACTGCTTGGCATGCATTGTTGCCAGCTCCAAAGTATGCTGCCCTGTCACACATGGATGCAGTAAAGGAAGAACAAGTGTAACTTCTGACTTCCACACTCTCAAGGCAGAGAGCAGGACTTAGGGCAAAAAGCTGGTCTTTTTTCATCAAATGTATTTCCCCCCCCCCCCCCCAGGGCCTACTGGATGCATCCTGTCTATCAATGACACAGCTTTTTCACTGGGAATCACCCTGTACATGCACATCTTCACAATTACCTCCCATAGCACAGACCTCATAGGTACTATTAAAGTTAATTTCCTGGAGTCCCATCCATGTCCTCATGTCCATCCATGTCCTCATGTCCCTTGCTGCATTTCCCAGTTGCCACTCTCCAAACCTGTGTGCTCAGCAGAAATACAGAATATAACCTTTTCCATCTTCCTCATGTGTTTTTGCCACCAACTTGTACCATACCTTTCATTTGGATATTGAGAAAAAATGAAGGATTTAGAACTGTATCTGCACATTAGATCATCATTAGCAATGCATCCCTACTAAATCTCGTCCAGTAGGAAATTAATTTAGATATAATATGCAAATATGTTTATACTTTCTTTTGCTGAATCGTTCTTTTCTATGTGAATTATTTTAGCCTGACTTTTCAGATGAGAAAACAACCACGGGACTCATAAAAATGTGCTTTATCTTTAATTACAGCTTAAAATGAATACTAAGATGATACTGAATCACACTCTAAAATATACTGGAAATTGTTTTCCAAGTCAGTCATCTGCATTTTTCTCTAACCAGCTGGCAACTTTGATTAGTAGTTTTTTCCTTTCAATATTTTCAGATTTTGTAGATTCCAGTAGCAGAGTAGTAGCCTCTCTCTCGTCCTCTTCCAGTGTAGCATTATAAAAAACTTGCAACTGAAGAAATAAATGCATGAGCTTAGTTCACATAACTTCACTTGCAGCAAGCAACTGAGTGCCTGGCAGATGCTTTAGACAGAAGTGCAAGAAAAGAAGGAGACGACAGAGACTAAAGAGGGAATGGGGCAAGCTTACTGTTTTACACTAAGGTTGGAAAGCTCCTTACATATCAAGAATGTGCCCTTTTGCTGTTCCTCTAAAAATCCTTTCAAATGCAGCCAACTTCACTGGTACTGGTGGTACCACACTGTCTAGGACTAGTTGGGTAGCAGAATCCTCTTGTGCTGCCTGTTTTACAGTCACAGAACAAGAAATCTTTCCCATCAGTCTAATAAGCAAAAGAAAAGAGAGTACTGAAAAATAGTGAAGAAATAGAGGGGGGGAACGGTGAACAAACAATATGAGAAATTAAACAAGATGCCAGTATGATAACCTAATGTGCCAGCAGCCCAACTTTGGTACATTTTCTGTAGACATCATGGCAAAGGTTATCTCTACAGATAGATTTTATAGAGAAAAATGAGACAGTTTTGATAGAATTTATTGGGACTCAGCTCCAAACCTGAAGGTTTGGAACACATCAAAATTATGTCTTATGATTTCTTTAAAAAACAAGAGATGTAAAAACCTGTATTTACAAACTGGCAATAAAGTTAAAACTGGCAATAAAGCTTCTCTGGTTTACCTCTTGGATCTGTAGATCTGTATTGACAAATCTTCCCATGACTTTTAATACATCATGCAACAATTCCTGCCCATATCTGTAAAATTGAGATAAAGGTCCTTCAAACAGCATGCTAGCAAATATACTAAATTTCATCTCATTTGAAAATACTTACACTACTTAGTGATTATTCACTATGTTGCAAATACCAACTAAGCTGAACTTTGTAATTGTGTACTCTTTTTCCCTTTTTAAGAAGTACCATTAACATTCAATTTAGACATTTGAGCAGGATGAAGCACAATAATTATCCTTCATTTCCATTTCCCAGTAAGATCTGGTATTTTTACTTTGGTGACATGAATTCTTTGCCCAAAACAGATAATCTTTGTGAACCCACACAGCCAAACTGAGCTAGAAAGGCTAAGCAGTACTGATTCTAACGAGTTTGTGTTTCTGTTGGTATCTGAGGATGGTGTAAAATAAACACTCGCACTATTCTTTTAGTTTGAAAATAATGGGTCAATATCCCAGCAAATTTTTCATCAATACAGAAAAGCTTTGTTGGTATGATGCAAATCTGCTACAGCTTGCCTTTTCTAGTGTTAGCAATAAAGTTACACATTTGAATGTACAAATGGCTGGTTTTGGTTGTGCTGCCACTAATGGATCCCAATGACCTCCTCTGCCATCAAGCAGCTGGAATGTACTCTGTCACAGCCCTACTGCTTTTCACCAGTGCCAAGGAGAGAAGGAGTCTTCAAACAGACATCAGAATACTTGCTTTGCTCAAGACAGGTAGCCCAACCTCACCTCCAGTTTACCTGCAGCGGTGCAGGTAGGCTGGAGGTGGATTAGGACTTAAGTCAGGGAATAATATTGTAGTTGTCCTACCAGTGCTTGCAGACCTGCATGCTCTAATCCCCCATCTATCCCTACTTTCTTTGGAAAAGAGGTTATGATCTTATTCCATCATTTTACACCCATGCTTGTGAAATGCTAGTAGATAAACCCATTTCTAGAGTCAGAGTTTCCAAGAAACCTAACACTTAAAAGCACTGAAACAGTCATGAACAGACTAATTTTTAAAGTGTTCTATGTTTGACATGAGCTCTTCTTTGACGTTAAGCCATGATCATAGTTGAATCCTCTGAAAACTCTGTTCTGCACACTTTAGAAATTGAATCAATCATTACAAATCGCCACCTGTGGAAGGAAAATCTGCACCTGAATTTTACAGCTTAGATGTAAAGATGGAGGAAGAAGCCAAAGGCCACAGAAATAAAAGGAAGCCAAAGCTGGTTGCTTACCTTTCACTTAAAACTGGCCAATTTTCAGTAACAAATTCCCAGGCCATACGATGCCCAATATCCTTAGCCACCACATTTAAGATGACGGTTGAAGTACAGTTAGAAGAAAATAATGTATCACTGAGTCCATATTGCAAGTATCTGATAGAAAAGGAGGTAAGAAATGCACCAGTCACTTGCTGCTGATCATGCCAATGATCTGGAAATATATCTCAAAAAATATCAGCATGTGGAAGGTTATACCAAAGTTGGTGTCACTCTGAGCTGTGTATTCAACTTGGATTTTGTCCTTAACATTGGTGAAATCCCATTCTTGCACACTAACTCTTCATATCTTAGTAAAGTGAGGGCATAGCATACCAGGTGGGCATACAGGCATTTCTTATCTTTGTTACAGAAAGGCAACTGCTCCTACTAGACAAGCCAAAGAAGGGCAAACTGCTTCTCACTTTCAGGAGATTCACTTTGCTGTGACACAGGTGGAGCCTAGAGAGTATGGCAGCAGTGAGACACACTGTTACACAGAGGTGACCTGTTTATAAGGGTTCCCTACAACAAGACCCAGGAAGACACTTTTTCATGGGGGTTAAGGCAGGGTTCCAGAAGTATTTTAAGAACTACCAGCCAGTGATGTCAGTGGCAGTGACTGCTTGAATATCTTGAGAAGATAAGTATTTTCTTTGTTGCCTCAGTCTTTCACACCTTTCATGCTCCTGTTTTCAAAGGAACACTTCTAGAGTTATTCTTCTCATGAGGTCTTGCAGGCAGCTGCTTTATGAGTATAGTAGTTGAGTTGGGTTTCTCCCATTTGCATGCCACCACTATGCTTAACATAATGAAGGGTTATAAGGAAGGTTAGAGGGGAAATCAGCGTAGCTGATGGGGTATCTCTTTGCAACACTTCTTGTGTTGTCTCAGGCATATTTTTTCTGTCTTTTCAAATGACCACCATCACTAGAGCAGGTGGCTGGAAGGAGAAAAATCTCTGCTACTTCCAGAGCTTTAGACCCATGGAATTCGTGTAAACTCTTGGATGATCATCATTACATTGCCAAATTTGCATCTTTTAACAAATGCTTTAGGTAATGTAAATATGACAGAGAATTCAACGTCAACATCTTTTTACTGATAAAGATATGGATGTCAGTAAAAGAAAATGAACACTGTATTCCAAACTGTGTTCCGGAAGCATTTGGGCAAGACTTCGATATTTGTCTTAACTTTTTGGTTGCCCCACATGGAATCAGGAGGTAGACTTGATGACCCACATGGATCCCTTCCAACTCAGCATATCACATGATTCTATCACTCTGTGAAGCTGGAACTTTAAAAACCCACTACTTTTCAGTTGAATTTGCACTTCAAATGGTGAAAAGCTTGCTAATAAGTCTATTTGCACTTTTGCCTTTAACCTGGGTGAATTTGCTTCTGCACAGAGGCTAACAGGCTATGACACTTCTGTTTGGAAACAAAATAAGCAGGAGTGAAGGAGTTTGGGAAAATTATGTAAAATCATAAATGATAAGGAAAAATGTCAGAGCAAATTATAATTACTGTTTCTTACGGTGCATAGGGTGTGGGCAGCCCATGGGTTCCAAGTTAAAAACCAACACAAAATAATTTGTTTTAGTTCAAAAAGGTCACTAGATATATTGACAGAAGACAGGCCCAATGCTGAACCTGACACCGCTGTTGCATCTGCAGAAGGATCATTTATTTGTGTTTGCCCTGTTTATTATACTTGCTCCATAAGAAAACTTACGATTCTTCCAGTGGTCAACAAGACACGTACTTCTGAGGCAGACAAACCTCCATCAGATTTGCACAGCACAGTACTTATGTTCTTATTATTTACTTCTACATACACAGAGATATGCTTTGATCAGGGTCACCTGTAAAGTAACCATGACTCTTTGGCACAGCTCATGGCAGAGAGCAGGATGTCTTTATCGTCCTCTGTGGAGTCAGTATGGGTATACATTTCCCATGCAAAATTCCATTCTTTAGCACTTCCCAGAGCAACACCATAGCAGCACACTGTTCCTCTAATGAAAAAGGGAATTCTGCAAGGCAAAGTAAGATTAAAAGGTATTGTACTGTTGCAGAGGCAAAACCAGTTGTTAATGCATAATGGAAAGCAAATGTTCATTTACAGTTAAAAGATAGACATGAATGAAAATATAAAATAACAATGTAAATAAAGATGGGAAATTTGATTGCTTTTTTCACTATTTAAGCATTGAAAAGGCATGCAGTTTAAAGGAAAACCAAAACACCCCACATTTTTTAGGACAGTTGAACCAAGCTATTTTTTTTTCCCATCACAGCCTAGGAAATGGCATCATCCCAGACATGCCTTTTTAAAATTTCTTCAGTGAATGCATCTAGTAGGAAGGTCCATTTGCAGCACAAATGGAAACAGAGGGACATTTCTCCATGGAACAGGCAGTCCCCTCTTACTCCCACCCCAAGGGAGAGTCCTCAACATGGCAATGAATTTCACAACTGAAACTGAATGCAAACGTGATCAGTGTAATACTCCGTGTACAAAGGCTGAATAGAAAATTTCTGCTGTGGTGATGATGTGTCTCTGACATTAAGACATTGTCAACACTTTCCAGTGACTTCAGTATTCTACTTTGTAGGCTATCTGAAAACAGTTTCAACTAATGGTATTTTGGACTAATTCTCTGTAGAAGAATAGCTCCCATTGCTACAAATAAAACATTTAACTTTTCAATAGCATATTGTTAATCTGCTCATCATTACATTAGACCAAGATTGTAAGTAGAGGTGTAAAAACTGTCTTCCGTCAGGAGATACACTTGGAAAAACAAGCAAGCTTCTGGTCACAAAAGCCAGTCTTCAGGCCCAAAATTTGAAACAAGAATTTCAAATTTAAATACAATTTGAGAAGAATTCCTGAGTTTCAGTAGACCATCTTAGAGAAAATGAGGATGATGCCAGCAGAAAGAGAGACAATGTTAGCCAGATGGACAGATATATGAAACCAATCTTCAAAGCAAAGAGAAGTTATAAACTCTGCAAATGAAGGACTAGTGGGAAAGAGGGAGAGAGCTGGGTGTTTTGAATGACAGACATCACTAGTTAAGAAGTGAAAATGCAAGATGCAGGGATTTTGGTAGTCCTGTTGTTGGTGGGGATCTCACTGGCATAATAACAGAAAGTGGGGACATATTTAATATTTATTTAAAAAAATACTTTGTATTCATTTACCTAGATAGTCGCTGTAATATAAGGAGTTTGCCACCAAGAATGATTCTTACTGAGATTGCGTGGTTATGACAGGATAAAGAATAGTCCTGTGATGAATCCTTCTATGACAGATCTTATTTGAGTTACAGGGTCTAGTCATTTGTTCAATAATCATTTCATAATGTTGCAGTAAGGGGCCACGGTAAGGTAATAACAGAGTACAGCTCTGTTGGCCAAAGTGCATCTATTTATTTTGCAACTGCAGCCATTCCAATAGTTGCAGGAAAATTTTGGTTACTAAGTGTAAAGTTGTTGTGAGTCAAGTGCAAATAGACAAGTTCTGTGTCTCATTTGGCTGTAGCTCTGATGTTCAGCATTCAAGGCAGGCTGAACATGCAGCCTGCTGTGGGACAATGGTCTGCTGGCTGGTGGCATCTCTGATGGCCCTGAAGTGGTTATGTTGTGTAGTTCCCAGGCAGACTCACTGCAGTACAAAGGAACTTTGGAGCTTGAAGGATGTGAGTTATTAATCTTGATATTTTTCCTGGGAGTGATTGTATGGTTTGATATTACTGGCCTGCCAGGATTCTCTCACTTCTGGACCTTAGGGAAGATACAAAAAGCAGCTGGAATGCAGGGTAGGTTATTTTACATTGTTTTCTTGGAGCCGATGCAGAAGTGATGTAGTGATTTATGAACTTTTGAGGATGACAGCAGAACATGGGAACCTTTAGTAAATAAATAAAATGTACAGCAACACTGTCCCTCCCTCTAGGCTAATTTCCTTCTGTCAGAAGAAGACAAGCCAGTAATAGCACCACTGAGAAAACATTAATTAAGCAAGTTCCACTACACTACTATAAACAAAAAAGACTAAAACTGAGAAACTGGCTGGGAATCACAGCTCTTGGCTTGTTATTTTCATGAAACAGATAAAAATGCACTGTAACATGTCCAGTTAAGTTCTGCCAGAAACTGTTTGGAGATGTTTAGCTGAAAGTCAATCACAGAGTTTAAAACAGAAAAGCATTATTCCCTTCCACAGATGTGAAAATCCTACTGGGTTTCACCTTTGGCAGAACAGCTATAGTGTCCTATTATGAATTTGCTCAAAATGGAGAACATTAAAGCATCTAAAGGGATCTGTCTGTGAAATATGAGTCAAAAGTGTATTGTGCCCTTTTCCTTTCCTATCCAGCACATGGAAGTCACTTTAATTCCATGGTAACTGTGACCTGTCACTTGAAATCTAAGAAGGGTCCTATCTCCTCTTGTTTTGGTTTTTTTTTTTCCTTAAAACATGATCTTTTTTTTTCACTTAACAAAATTCAGAGTTGCATTTTTCTCCACACTTATAGACCTGTAAAGTCCTTTTGAACTAAGGAGGTCCTTTTGTCCTAAGGAGGATACCAAAATTAATATTCTTCATCTAATTCAAACCCCAATATATTAATATTTCACAGACTGTCTTGTCAAGACAAATAAGGTATGTAGCATTCCACCAGAAAAATACCCTCAAATATTATTAACAGGAGAAGATAAGTGACTATTTTGAAAACAGATTGAGAATTCTGCATAATATTGTTGCTTCTAGTGTAGAATATTCTCTCTGGAAAGTAACAGAATGTATTTAGGCTATTTAAATATTCGGTCTAACTGCAAAGTTCCATTGGGTTTTTATGAGGATGATCACTATGAAGCTATTTTAAAAACACAAACATAAAAGTACAAGTTCAGTTTACTTAGCCAGCTACGTATATCAATGGAGATGCAAATAACAACAAAATATTTATCACAACTACAACAAATAAAAATAGACTTTAAATATTCACTCACCAGTGCCAATACTATTTGACAATTGCATAGAAAGACATCAAAAGAAAGAGGGAGGAAAAGAGAATAAGAATTTCAATATACTGTAAATCTTCTTTAACCGTGCAATACTTGAATATAGAAAGATTATTTCCGGTGGAGTCCAGACTCCACTCTTACAGACCAGGCACCTGACCACCAGGCTCCAGTAACAACATAAGAACTGACAGCTGTTCCCAACACCTCTTTACTTGAATAGAGAACATGCAAGGCAATTTGGTGGGCTCACCATGGGCAGATGCCCGTATCGTACAAACACCATTTCACTCAGTATTGCAAAGAGAAGCTTAGAAGATGAGTTGATATACATGATAAGCCTAAGGCTGTATTGCAGCAAAGGCACTGGGCCAGATGGGATTGTAGCAGTAATATGAGGTTCACCTGTTATATGACTAACCAGATTTTGGTCTTCATGGCAAAATCTGCATCCTCCAGCCTGTAAAGTCTATGGAAAAAGCAGTAATTATGAAATCATCATAAAGTTGTGATTTGGGGAAGAGAAGGGGACTGGGGGGGACACAGTCTTAAATTTTGTCATTATGTCAAGAAATAAGAGCAGTGTACAAAGGTATTTCTGGTTTTGCCTCCCCCCTTTAACTTTCCAGCTCACTTAGGCATGCACACTTCTAAGAACAAATCAACATTCTTACTTGTATTCAGGGTTGTCCATCCACTTAGCATACAGTTCAGATGACAGGTCCAAACAATCTTGGAGGCCCAGCCAGCACGCTGTTGTAAAAAGTTTTTCCAAATATGCTCTTGAAAGGAAGCCAAAATAGTAAGAATAAAAGGTATGCATTCCACATTTGGAGTACTTGAACTGTGTTTGACTACCACAGTCTCAGTACATGATGTCATTAACCCAAGAGAACCTCTACTAGGAACAGCTGAGGTTTAATAAAATAATCAAACAATCAACAATGGACTCCTGACATTAATATAATGAATATAAGTGAGGAAACAGATGTACTATATTTTTTTCTTAGTTTTTTGTGTGGTTTATATCTTCCTTGCTAGTTTTAAGAAAATCACTCTGACATTCAAGCCTGTGGCAGCAGTGGCCTTGCGAAATGAAGTATTTTAAAGTTTTAGTGATTGATCCATAAATCATATCTTAAGTTCACTGCTGTCAGTTTTGCTCCAACTAGTGGCAGCCTGCTGAGCCTCTTCTCTGATAAACAAAAAGCTACCACTCAGATCCTTAAACTATCATCTTTTATGCTCCTATTCTGATATTGCAGTTTCACTGGAGGTGTCATCATAATTAATACACACTTTATAGGACAGTAAAAATAACAAGTCAGCTATGTTCACATTAATTAGAGAATTATTCTTGTATCTTGTATTTAAATTTACACAAGAAAACTGCAATGCATCAGATCCAATCACACTAGAACAAACTTTTGAGAAAAGTAAAATACTTACTGAGCAAAATAGTCATCTTCCAAAGCATCAATATTTTTATGAATAAAACCTGCATAATAATGGTATATTGGCAACATTCTCTTTAAAAGGTATTTCTTTTAAAAGAAGGGAAAGAAAAATTACTTTCATTTAGATGCAAGTTTTTATTTTTCTGTGTTTCTTATATACTCAGATTTATGCTAAATATTTACCACTATTAATTTCATGACAATACAGCACATTAAAATAAAATAAAAAGTGGATCTAAAATTCAATAAACCTGTACATCAATTCAAACTGGCACGTTACCATTTCACATTACTAGGACCTTTGACATCATTAAGAAAGAAAACAAATACTCATTCTCAGAGAAAAAAACCCCAACCTTCTCGATATGAAGTACTTTGTTAGTCTCATGTATTTTAAACCTACCTCTATTTTCTAGAACTTAAGAGAACTAATACTGTGGGATTGTACTTTAAACAAAAGTGAAATCTTCAAATAGAAGTCAAGGAAATTAATATGACAGTATCACCTCAGGGAGTCAAATATGGGAGAGAATCATCTCATTTAGTACCCAAACCCAATTCCTTCTTTCTCTCCATGAAGATGAGCTGAAAGGCAGTTCAATCCACAGAGCACAAACACACTGTATGCCCTTTATACACAGCAGTGCTAGTCCTTTCACTTAATACTGATAGCCGTATTTTCCAGATTCTCAGTTTTACAAAACCCAAGAATGAAGCTTAATGTAAAGAATGTAAATATATTTCTATTTTATGCTAAGAATTGCTCAATACTTGTAACTGACTAACATACACAATTAAGTACCTCCTCCTATTAAAAAAAAAACAACTTGACAAAATAATGCAAAAGGAATGACAAGAATTCTGGCACATCATAGTCATCATTTCATTCTTGAGAATTTAAAAAGCATTAATTTTAGACTGATGTATTTACATGATCTAGTATCTTTGCTAACTAACAAAAAAAGTCATACCTTTAAAAGTGGATATACTTCGTAGTTCTTCAGTGTACTTTCCAACTTCTTGGGTACTAGGTTTAACAATACCATATTCCATATGAAGAGTTCATCTTCTCTGGCAAGGTACTTTGTTAATTCAAGTGCTGTTTCAATCTGAACATATCCAAACCTATGTGAAAAAAAAAACCAAACAAAAAACCCCAAACACATTTGAGGATACTTCTATACTTCACAGTTACATTCCTAATTAAATACTAGTTCTGAGCTCTCTTATGAAAAAGGACATTTGTATGAGAGAAGGAATAAGAATTTTTACTTCCTCCTTTCAGAGCTACCTCCACGGGACTTGAAGGGGGGCAGTATGCTTTGGCCACCTTGTCTCTGAGGTCACTCATCATAGATATCTGATGCTTTTGGGATATCTGGTATGTTTGAGGCACAGATACACTTAATGCTTCTTCAGCTCCCTACAATATTGCTGACCTCTCTGGCACCACGGACATGAACAACCAAGTCATGCATCAGCAAGAGAAATGAATGAGGTATTAAGAGTGATGCAGTTCAACAGCATAGCTGAGATAGCCCAGAATAAATTATAGAAAATTCAGAATCTACATTTGGAATCATTTTTGGGTTACAGCAAATACAGGTTAGTCCCTAAAGAACTCGTGGCAGTGCCATTATTTGAAATAATTTTCTAAGATCTGGAATAAAAGTTAAAAGAAATTTTTAAATAAATCACTTAGCACTGACAAAGGAAGGGATTAAATAATTCCCTCATCATTTTGTCAAAGCAGTTGTTCTTACGAGATACATATGGATAGGAATGAAGGAAGCAGAAGTAGCAATCTTGAATGCAATCATGTTGTTTAATCATTTTCTGTGACATATTCGAAACATACTTACTTTGACAAGACAAAAACATCATCTATCAGCTGGAACCTGCTGACAGCGGGAATAGCCTGCAGAAAGCATTCGTGTAGTGTTAATAGATCTAAACATGTCATTAAGAGTTTAAAAAAGCTTTACTATGTTGCAGAAGGATAAGACAAGTCCCAAGCAGTTTTTCTAAGTCAAAATAAGTCTACAAAATGGATTCTGCATCTTAAGCTGAAATTATTTATGTGCTTTTAGGGATGTTTGTGTTTATATATGTATATTTATATATATATATACAGCTACATAATATAGTTTTATATATAAATATACAACTACAGTACATCAAGCACAGAATTTCAAGACCCCTCATACTTGCACATTGTCATAAAAATAAAATATGGAAATAACACATTTCCTAAAAATATCCTAGTTATATAATTTTGGTACTCTTTTTATCCTTTTGAGGTGTAAATTCAGAATAGGTATTCAGTCCAAAGCAGAGTGGCTTGCACTGTCATGAATTAAAAGACCAAGGCACAGCCATGGGTGAACCTGCCTACAGCTCTTGCTCTTTTGAGGACTACTGGTCCTCTTTGTCTCCTCCCTATTCCATGCCCCTTCAGCTTGCCCACTGCTTGAGCAAATATTCCCACCACTGACTGCTGGAAGCATAAAGCAGGGCAGAAATGCAAAGCTCAATGTGCAGTGTTGAAACTGGGTGGAGGTCGGGTTGTTTGTGTTGCCATCCACCAGGGACGAATGTGAAGTGGGGCGGGAGCTGCACGATCTCGTTCTTCTGCTTGATATCAAGAAATATTCTGTATAACACAACTGCAAAGAATGGATGCTTTTGCACAACTGCTACCAAGAACACTTTCCTACCAAGAAATATTCCCACAAAGAACAGACAGTTTGACCACAGTCCCACCCACAGCACTTTGCACAATAGCAGTTAATAAGGTATAGAATGTACCCTGATTTCCTTCCTAACTGGGGGATGAGAGTTTGACACAAAATTGTAGGGACAGATCTATGTGTTCATCTCTCAATCCCTTTCCCCCCATGGCGTGGGGCGGTGCAGTTCTAGTTCCATTTCCATCTGTGGCACTAAACCTGCATTATATGAGAAATTCATCCTCCCCATTCTTCCCAGAAGGGACACCTTTTGGTAAGGCTTGCGTCCTTGGCCACACCAATTGTTTTCACTCTGGAAATTAGGCTTGTGATTGCAATCATATTGTTAGTTTATATACAGCTGTTCTGCACTTAATGCATTTATCATTAGCAATCCAAAAGAACTGCATATGTTGCATTTAATAACCCGCGCTATTTGTAACCCGACTGCCTTGCTTGAATGTCACCAGACCTGTAGTTAAGAGACTATTCGTGAACCTCATATCAGGCCTATAGTTACATCTTTACAAGACTGCATGGTGCCAAAAAATGGCTCCAAGTCTGCACCCACCTAATTTCCTGCTGACTTAGATTTGCTGTGAAAGAAAAACGCCTATAGGAAAGGAAGCCAGTGTGCTGTAGAAAGGTTTAATGTGTTCTGATCATGTCCAAACTTTCCAGAGAAGTCCGACTGCATTGGTTACTGTTATGTTGAAAGGTTAAATTTTCTTACTGTTGTTGCCAAAACCAGTGACCTGACCTTCGTCTTACTGTCAGATTAGGCAACACTGTATGCTGTGCGACGCCATATACAGTCACAGTTGTTCTGTACTGCTTTCACTTTCAGTCCAGGCTGTGGCAAGTCAGAGGTGGAATGAAATCTACTGTGAGTTAGTGTTTATAGAGGACTCAAAGAGCCTAAGTAGAATTGATTGGAACTTTTAAGAACATTTTCCACAAAATAAAAAAACAAAAACAAAACACACAAAAAACCAAACCCCAAACAAAAACAAACAAACAAAACCCCTCAAAAACAAACAAACAAACAAAATCCCACATATAAAACCCAAGCCAGAGGATTTTTTTGAAATTTCAGTGCAGAAACATTGTGGTTTGAAGAAATGAGGAAATAAAAAGCTTTCTCTCAGCTTTCCTTCTCCATGGTTGCCTAACACCAGATGAAGCTCAGTCGCACATTCATACTGGTAACTCCTTGAGCCAGATTTGAAGAGACTGGGAGAACCACAAGTTGTTAAGACAACTTTTAAGATAGAATGTGATGTAAAGTTATTTTTCGTGCCTGTGTGAAACTGTTCAGGCCTGTCCACTTCTCTATAAAAGGCTGCCAGTGACTTTACTGGTGCAGTGGTGGATCATTTCTTCCTTATGTAATATGTGAGTTTCCCATTATTCCCAGTTTTCACCAATGTGATTCTGGGTAAGAACTGCAAGAAGAAATACATGAAAAGAGTCTTCTTATAAGCCTGAGAAAACAAACATGATCTTACCTTTGGATCATTTTCAAGCAAGTGTGCTAATCTTTTCAAGTTTAATTGGTCATAGTTCACCCTGTAGTATCCACTTAAATTTACATTTAGCAGGATCCAGTCATATTCTGACTCCAATACTTGCATTTCAGGAAACACTTCTGTAAAGTGACATTAGAGTAATAATTTTATTTTCTATGTGCTAAATTGTCTTGCATTTATAAACACTAGACTTGATGCTCCTCTGAGATCTGAGGTGGGAGTTTGAGGCTGGACTCAAAGAGAACCCCTCGAAAGCTCAGTGCATTTGTGATCTCTGCTCTGCTCAGCGGAATAACTTCAGCTAGCCACTGACTCCTCTGGTACTGAGCACCTTGAGATTGCAAAGGGGAGGCTGAACACCCATTTTGCTCCTACTCTTTAGCTCACAGGCAGCTGTGAGAGTTCAGAAAGTTTACCCAAGAATAAACTCTCTGGATGGGAGCAATGTCCTCTCATGCCTGCTGTAGGGCATGCACCCTCAGCACACCTGTTGCTCCCAGTGCTGCTCTAAAACACAGTGCTCCATACTTTACAGAATAACTGATCTTACCAGTATTCACATAAATGGACATCCAAATCAAAACAGATAAGTTTAAGCAAGAGATAAGTAATCGAAAATGCTTATTTTAAATAAAAGAGTCCCATAGTCCTTTTGAGTAACATCACTCACTAAAGGCTTCCTTCTGCAGTCCATTTCATCATACTACTACCTATTCATATGTTCTTGTCCGATTGAGTGCTCCTGATATTGCATTTGAAAGAGCCAGTGAAGCCTTGAAGGGTCTAAGCTGCCTCATCAGAAGAGTATTCAAATGCTGGTTTAACTGGCTACAGTCGTCCTGATTTGAGAAGACAAACTCTCTTAAGACAGTAAGTCAATACTGGTGAGTAGTCTAGACCCAGCACTGCTTTATTCTGAACAGAAGGCTGAGACCTCAATGTTTAGACAAAGCAAGTACCGCAGGATTCATCCTGTATTCAGAGGAGTACACATCCTTTTTCTGCTTATTTACTTGTCTGTATACCATGAAATTAATGAACACTCAAGATATCCTGTTATCTGAAAAAGAAGGGAATTAACTTTTAACCACTGCAAACAGAGGGCGAAGAGCTGCAATACACACATAGTGTATTGTAGTTTTTCCTCCTAAGCATTCCAATGCATTAGTCTCTGCATCTCTTTGTAACTGATCTAAAATCTGAAGGAGTCTGAAGCTGACTTGACAAAGAATATGATTACCCCATTCTAAAGATTACATTTCTTCTTTTCTTCTGTAAAAAAATATAGTTGTTTATTGGAAGGCACTGAGTTGGGAAAGAACAGAATTTTTTATTTGATTGGAGATGCCCATAAACTCACTTTTCTAATATAAGACTTTTAAACTTTTTAACATCCTACTCTTTTGATGAGTATTTTTTCATTTAATTTGCATAAACAAACTAAATTAAATAGTGTTAAAAATATTAATTTTCTGTTGCTACAGATATTCATGTGCAATTATGTTGAGTCACTTCCCACAGCTGGTTTTAATTTTTTCAGTCTTGTATCTACTCCGTGAGCTGAAAATTTTCTGTTATTTCACAGCTGAAATCCTATCTATACTCAAAACCTGGCATTAACATCAATGGAATCTGTTGGGGTAAGAATAATACAGAAGCCTGAAGTCCTAGGAGTTTGAATTTATGTAAAAAAAAAAAAGACGAAATCAAAATTTCTGTGGAAATCTCTACTCATAATATGTGTTGTACCATATTATTAGAAACATACATTGAAGTTTGATGCAACATAGGAAAAAAACCCATTATATTGACCTAATTGAAAATCTACTGCTATCGTAACACAAAATCATCACAATGGATAAACATTTCTGTATTAAAGTTTTATCTCCCTATTAAATTCAAATATGTCCTCTGTTTATAGAAGAGTTTGGAGTGGTTTTGTTAGTTTGATTCTAGAGTGTATAAACAAATACATTACTTACTGCTGCTTTTATCTAGCCACATTAAGGGTTGTGATGATCCATTTTTCATCCAAGAAATAGGAATAATCCATGTGTTACTTAACAAAAAAAAAAAAGATACAATAAGATTAAATCTTATGCTTAAAAAAAACCCTTTTTAGCTCATGCTAAATGGCATTGCAAATTAGTTCCTTGTTACAAGAATATCCATCTATCTTGTCTCCTCTCTGATGCATGAAACCTCATCAGATGGTAGTACTAAATGCTGGGTCAGCATTTAGATTCATCATAAGGGAATTTTAGCATGGCTTTAAATAGGCACTCGTATCAAGAATATTGTTCAATGCTAGGTATTTGAATACCATTGTCTCTCTCTGCTCTCTTTCCCTCTTCAGGCAGTAATTCTCCTCACCTATTACACTTCATCCTATTTCTGGAGAACTTAAAGCTGCTTTTCAGAAGGGTATATCTACTAAAACAAGGCCCCATGCAAACAATGCAACTGTGATTCAAACAACTCTAATTTCTTTTCTGATGAAATGTAAAGCTCCTGGTGAAACAGATGAAAGCTTCAAAACCCTTAAAAATTCCACAATACACACCCTGAATTTTCTTACATTCACCTGGTAATTTGCTCTTGCTAACTGTAAAGGCTTCATATTTGTAACTTGGAATTTCTTATGTGAGATAACCAAAAATACTGGATGGACTAATGCTCTGCAATTCCTGGAGCTTGGGAGCAAAGGAAATTCTGTGGCTTTTGTCAAAATTTATTTGCCTATTTGTACCTTTACACTTTTCCCCCACATGATCTCATTGGCTCCATCCATGCACCTCAATACTCATGTCATTTGCTGAATTTCATGAAGGTTCAAACTCTGGCCAGGAGTTTCCAAAGTGGGTCACCAAAGGTAGCTCCTTCTATCACCATTTTTAGACACCTAAACAAGCAGCACAGCTTTCAAAAGGCACTCAGCAATGCTCACTGACAGGAGCTCTTAAACTGCACATCAGTTATCAGCGCTTTCTGAGAAAGAGGCCAATTATAAAAGTGTTTAAATGCAACCCTTTTATCCTTGTCAGGAGGAAGAGACTGGGAACATGTGCACTGGAAAGAAGCTACAGCATGGTTCATCCAGATTCCCAGTCTGTAGACCTGAGGGATGAGGAAAGAAGAAAATGCCGAGCAAAAATCCTGCCTGCAACATATTCAGGGTCTGTGTTCGTTGTCATTATTATGTAGCTGGAAAAGTCACTATTCCAGAGGAAAGCACCCTTTTGGCAAAACAAGCAGAGTTTGAACTATTGCAAGCTCCAGTCTTAAACGGATTTTACTTAACAGCTCATGACAAGTGAAAAATCAACAAGTAAGTAAATCAACAAGTTAAAAAAATCAGATCATCAAAACATAATGTGCTAACTGAACAGTTTCCTGGAAAAACGTGATATAAACATACAAGGAAAACACAAGCTAAACATACTTGTTAGGATCAGTACTCCTTCTATTATTTTTATTAAGGAATTGTTCCTGTCTGATAGTTCCAGTGGTTATATTTAATGTTAAAACTGGAAACCCATTTTGGCATGTCCAGGAGTCCATTATTTGCTTTACAGATGCTGGCAACTGAACTTTATCCTGTGCATCTATGATCTGCAAGAGAAAAAGGAATGAGAAATATTTATGATAAACAGCTACTTATTGACATTGCTTCAGCAACACTTTGGGAGTTGTTCTAACATTAGAGAAAATAGCTGCTTAGCAGTTTGATGGTCTTTGGCTTATGCAAAAAATCAACATAACAAAGTCCCAAGGACATTTTTGACATTATAATAAAGACAGCATAAGCCTTTTTCAGGAATTATGAAATACTGAGATATTTCTCATTCTATAACCTGACTGCTAACTTTTCTCTTTTTAGTGTTAATACACTTACAACCCCTATATGGCTATGACAGACTTTATTTGTTAATTTCTTTCAAATAAAGCTGCCAGAACACAAAGATTTTTAAGTGTCCTAATGAACAAATTGAATAGTGAAGACAAATTGAAAAAGATACTGAACCAGAGTTGAAACTAGTGTGAATTGATACAGTCTTCACTGGCTTCAGAGATGTGACAAACTTGCACATCTGAAATTGTAGGACTCTCATTCTTAACTTAAGCCTGCATCTGCAACACAATAGAAGCCTTCTTTAGAGGAACAGGAAAGTGGATTTTAAAAAAAATAAACCTATTATTAGGATCTGTGTTCTTAATCAGATTTCTGTGAAAACCATCAAAGACTGAAATGCTGAGCTGCTGCCCTGAGTATAAACTTTGCTGGATCTGTGACATATCAGCATCTCTGATCATCAAGCCCAAGACATCACACACTCTCATCTGACAAAACTTAAGCTCCAGAACAACAGGCTATGCAATTTCATGTAGGCTTATGCAATCACCATGGAACTCAAAACTCAGCCTGGTGTTGATTCCCCATCTCATCTCTCTACTCCTTGAACTTAGTTCCACTGATCTCAGGTGCAGTAAAGCAGCCAAATAAGCACTTGAGAGGACATCAGCTGAAAAAAACAGCAGAGTAAACTTCATGTGAGAGAAAGACTGCACTAGGGATAGCCACATTCTAATGCAGCCTTCTACAAATAGTATATACCCCAAATTTGGACTGTGCCAAACACCAGAGAAAGAATACTAGAGATATAAAATGAGTACCGTCTGGATGTGGGTCCAGAGATCATCTTGATTAGCATTTGAGAAGGAAAATTCTTTCAGATATGACTGTGCGGAAACAAAGAGAAGCATCAGAATTCATGAGGGTTCAATTAAAACCATCAGCAAGGCAAACAGCAATTTGTACAATTGTCATTTTCAAGCTCATAAATCAAGATGAGGGGGTTTCTTTTCAAACTTACAGTAAGTGCTCTGATGAACAACTTTTCAGTCAGAAAACCAGAAAGCATCCAGGTTATAGAAGCTCCCTGGAGTACAAAAAAAAAAAAAAACAAAAACAAAAAAAGCATGAGAAAAAAAGAATTATTATTGCAATTAGTGTTGAAATATTTTTTCAAACTATATTTCAGACAAGTTAGTCAGGCTACTCCTACACTTCATATTTCACAGAGTTTAAAGATGCTTCCACCATTTCCTTTGTAGCCAAATAGATTTGCGACACCCAATAAATTTGTGTGTACAGCAGAAACGACTTTTGAATGACAAAACAGTTCTGTTCAACAGTTCCTCTCAAACCTACTTTGTACTATTAATTTAGAATCTGGGAGAAATGGAAAGAATTTTATATTTTTTAACCTTGTTGTATGTGATGCTGTCAAACAGAGATGTTATAGAAAATGATCCTTTGATCTTGTCTTCGCTCTCTGACAGTGATCGAACTGTTTCACTGTCTTCCCTTAAGACAGGTTGCACAACATGATCACAAAAGATTTTATCCTGCAAGAAAAAGAAAAAATCTAAGTGAGCTGATCAGAAGATACTAATTCTCAGGAGACAACGTGGAATTAGCACTGTTACAAATTGTTTGCCCATAAGCAAGGAATGATCCTTTTCCCTTACTCTCTGACTTTCTCATGAAGTACAAAGGACAACATACCCGATCCTAACATTTTCCACATGCAACATCAGTAATCAAAGAAAATTTCGCATCTGAGAATACTGTGGGCTTGGGCCTGACAAAGTCAGTTACAGTGTAATGCTCAAGGACAATAAGTCAACTATACTAAACAGCTGAACAAATACTGAAAACTGAAAGCCTGTATCTCATTTACATCTGTATGTCACGAATATGGCAGCACTTTCCTCCTAAATTCCATGTTTCTCCTGCTGCAGCCCTAAGCAACAACCTAGAAACTAAGTTACTGAGGGTACCAAAGTTATGAGGCATTTCTGCTGTCACCCAGTGAGAAATATGGAGGGAAAATGGCTCCTCAGGAGTAAATACCACCTACCATGGTCAACAGCTGACAGTCCCAATGGAGATCAGTGACAAGTGGTGTCCCTCAGGGTTCTGGTTTGGGACCAGTGCTATTTAGTAACTTCATCAATGATGCAGACAAAGGAATTGAGTGTGACCTCAGTAAGTCCGCTGATGGCACAAAGCTGAATGGTGCAGTTAACACAACAGAAGGATGGGATGCCATCCACAGAGACCTGAACAAACTTGAGAAGTGGGCCCATGGGAACCTAATGCAGTTCAACAAGACCAAGTGCAAGGTGCTGCATCTGAGTCAGGGCAATCCTAGATGTGATTACAGACTAGGAGAAGAACCACTGAGACCTGTCATGTGGAGGACTTGGGGGTTCTCATGGATGAAAAGCTGTATGAGAAAACAGGAGTCACTGGCACCCCAGAAAACAAACCCCATCCTGGACTGCCTCAGTCCAAGTGTGGACAGCAGGTCAAGGGAGGTAATTCTGCCCCTCTACCCTGCTCTGGTAAGAGCCCACCCGAAGTACTGCCGCCAGCACGGGGGTCTTCAGGTCTTCAGCACAGGAAGGACATAGACCTGTTAGACTAAGTCCAGAGTGGGACCACAAAGATGATCAGAGGGCTGGAACACCTCTTCTATGAAGATGGGCTGAGAGGGCTGACATTATTCAGTACTGAGAAGCCTCCAAGAGACCTCATTGCAGCCTTACAGTACTTAAAGGGGACTTATAAAAAAGAGGAAAAGTGACCTTTGACACAGGAATGACAGGAGAAAAGGGAAAAAATTTAAATTAAGGAGGAGAGATTTAGATTAGATCTTGGGAAAAATTCTTTACTGTGAGGGTGGTGAGGGGCTGGAACATGTTGTCCAGAGAAGTTGTGGACACCCCATCGCTGGTACTGTTCAAGGCCAGGTTGGAGGGGGTTTTGAGCCACCTGCACTAGTGGAAGTTGTCCCTGACCATGTCAGGAGCATTGGAATTAGACAATCTTAAAGTTACTTTCAAACTCAAGCTCTTTGATGATTTTGTGATAAATCAGTGAAGTTGTCTTTTTGTCAAATGATGATTCAGTTTCCCCTGGCCGTCTTAAGATAGAATGGAAAATGACATAATTACAAAGGTAAAGACAGAAACCCAATTTTTTTTAAACACTGTAGGCCACTTTGAGCACTTCTCCTTTCCAAGGAGAAGATCACAGTCTTCCAATTAATGGCATCAAATTTGTTGACCAACTTTTCTCCTTGTAAATAGGCAGTAAATTTTATTTTCAGAGTTCAATTTGAAGTTGAACATGAGCCAACAACGTACCCTTGCAGCAAAGGCTAATGGTATCCAGGGCTGCAATAGAAGTAATACTGCCAGTGGGTTAAAAGAGATGATCCTTCCCCTCTACTCAACACTGATGAGGACACACCTGAAATGCTGGGTCCAATTCTGGGCTCCCAAGTACAGAAAAGATATAGAGCTACTAGAGAGAGCTTAGCAAATGTCACAAAGATGGTGAAGGGACTGGAGCATCTCTCTTATGAGGAAAGGTGGAGAGAGCCAGAACTGTTCAGCCTGGGGAAGAGAGGGTCAGAGGGATCTTATCAATGTATATATCTACTTGCAGGAAGGCTGCACAGAGGACAGAGCCAGACCCTTTCCAGTGACGGGACCAGAGGCAATGGGCATACACTGAAACACAGGAAGTTCTCTCTGAACATCAGAAAACACTTCTTCATTGTGAGGGTGATCGAGCACTTGCACAGGTTGCCGTGAGAGGTTATGGAGTCTCCATCCTTGGAGATATTCAAAAGCTGTCTGGACACGGTCCTGGGCAACTGGCTCTTGGGTGACCATGCTTGAGCAAGGGTGTTGGACAAGATGACCTCCAGAGGTCCCTTCTAACCTCAGCCATTCTGTAATTGTGAATGTATATGCCCCACAAAACTGCACAAGAAAGACCTATATTCTCACATCTGTGTGATTTACTCTGGATTTCCAAGGCACATCACCTAATTGTAATTTATCGAATAGAATTACTGCCCAATATAAAAGTTTACTTTATGGACACAAATGTCAACTGTTGATTCCTAGAAAGGCAAATCTCTAAATTAAAGGTTTTAAATTAAAAAGAAGTCAAGAATCTATTTCCAGTTTAAAATCTGGTGGCTTTTACCTTTTCAGTGGTATTAAAGGCTTTTTCTTTCTTCGGAAGCTGAGGGCACTGTATAGACATTTAAGATTGCACAGGCAAGTGCACCTCATGTCATGACTGCAATTAGCAGCAACTATCCACCTGTCTCAAGAGTTTAACAATGCATGGATTTTTCTAATATACTACAGGATTTATGCTTATTCCCATTTGAGCAGAACAGGAAGGAATTTTGCCCTGCTGTTGGATTAGCTATGTGCATTATATTTACCTTATCCACAACCAGACCTCCAGCGACCCAGCGGGGTAAACAGACTCAAAATGAACCACCTTAATTACTGTGCAGGACGCTTGGCAAAGAGCTTGGCAGGCAGGGAGGCAAACCATCAGCTACAACAGGACCCAGGAGAGAAATCTGGGTTTGCTACATGACAGATCTAGCGCAAAACACCAGCTCCTTGTCACTGCAGCATCACAGCTGTCCACCTGTCCTCTGCACCAGCTGTAGAAGAGCTGGGTATGGTCATGGCCCCCCAACAGATGGAAACCTATCAAGGAAGAATCAAGACCTGCTGGTCTTTCCTACAGGAGTTAAGTTAATAATAACATTGTTTAATTAAATCCCATCTCCTGCGTCTTCCTTTTCTTTGTTATGTGGTGGAACTTTGCATGTAAGCATTAGTACTTACCAGTGAAAGCTTGGGGTCAACAAAGGCAGCTCCCAGGTACTCAAAGTAAGATGCCAGTCCCTCATTAAGCCACAGATCATTCCACCAGTTCATCGTAACCAGATTTCCAAACCACTTAAATAGAAAGAAAAAGTATCTCAAAATGTCCTTGGTCTGCTCTTCTCTTCTCATTTTTTGGCAGATTAAGTACACATACTTATGATGAAGTAACTTTATTTATTGTGTACATGTAAATTGAATAAATTGCTGAATATTCCTTCAGATAGGGAAAATTCAGTAGGAAAACATGTACCTTGGAAAAAGTCAGAAGTTCAGGGCAATTATTTTTAAATCACTTCATCTACAATTTCATACCAGGAGTGTGGATCTCAGTGCTTTATGTCATTTCAAACACTTGTCAATATAATTTAAGTATCTAAAATATATCAGGCTATGATTAAAAGTAAGGCATTTATCAAGCAATTAAAAAACATTTTTCCATGTTCTTAACAGAATGAAATTGTCAGAGGAATGGTAAACAAAACTGGGGAAATAACCATTTCCAAAACCAGCAAATCCCTAACCTGGCAAGTATAAAATTTCCACAACATCTGCTGTGTACTCATATTTGGCAGTTCATATTTAACAAAAACTGATCACTTGTTGATTTATATTTTATTTGCTAATTCTTAAAAACCTGAACTACAGCTTTATTTTAAAACAGAGTTTTGTTAAGTATTGACATTTATTTTATAGGTCTGCAATAAAAATACTGCTCATCTGAAGGTCTGGAAAGTTACAGACCTTGTCAGAAAGGCATACAAGTGTGCTAGCCAAGCTAAACTCTTTTGCTAGCTTTGTTGACCAAGTGCAAAGAGTTGTTGCTCTGGCAAATAACAGTAAATTAAACACAGTCAATAAAGAAGTGAAACGGCATTATCATTCCAAATCAAGTAAGACAAAATTTGAAAATCTCTGTGAAAGCTGGACAAAGATACAGTTACAGTTCCATGTTAATTTTGTTCCATCATACCATAGGCTTTTTCTTACAGAAAAAGAAATACCTTTTGCAATATGCACATGCACTGCCACTACAAAAAGTACTGATGAACTCCATTAATTCTCCCACCAAAGTAGAAAGTATACTATATAGAGAGAGTACTGTGTTATCCCTACACCCAAGAGTGGCATTCAAGTCCTGTGTAAGAAAAAAACAAGTAGCCCATTAACAGTTTTGCATCAGTGAGTCCTGTGCAATGTGTACAGCTTGTAATATGACAGAACCTGCTTTTAATATTGTTTTATCAGCGAAACATATGATCAAATAGGCTTTCAGTACTCTAGTGCTCGCACCCCCTACTATCAAGTAATTATTTTCTTCTACTAATCAGTGACTGCATCATCAGCAACTGGAAGGAAAGAATGTCATAGATAAATAAATGCACAGAATTTTTTACCACATGCCTGGTGTCCTAGCTCATGTGACACAATTAAGGCAATCATTGCCTTTCTGCTTGTGAATTTATCACTTGGGATGTACATCAATGATGATTCTTGGATAGTCACTAGCCCCCAGTTTTCCATACCACCTGCTCCAAACTCAGGCAGTGCAACCAGATCTAAATTGATTCAAACAGACAAAAAAAAAAAAAAAGGTATCTTTAACACTTTGAAAATAAAGTGATCACATGATTTTAGTTCTCGCACTGATTCAACGTCCAATTAAAGGATACTACATTTTAGTGGTTCTTTGTGGTATTATGCCAAAATTTGCCAATGGTCTCTGAAGTTTCTTCTTGTCACACTTTTCACCTGTGATTGCCATTCTTTCAGGAAGCCACATAAATTCCTGCAAAGCCCAGATCTGTACTGTATCTTGTACATGCAAATGTTCTGACTGAAAATGAAGGTTAGGAGAGAATATATTCCCTGATGGCTGTCAGAAATCTTTTTCTAAATTGAATTTCTCCCATGTTTGAGTAAGATTATACTTACCTTTTTCTTCAGCCTAGCAACGGATAATAAAAAAAATCTTGCTCTTTCAGCTGTGTGAGTAGAGGTATCCTTTCTACTCTTCTTTGAAAGGCACCTTAGAAACACCATCTCTTTGTTTACACAATATGACTGTTACCTCTGTACTGCCCTTCTGCCTTATGCACAGAGAACAGTTTTCCAGTTCAAATGTGAAAGCTGGACAAAACATCAGGGTCTCAAAGGAAGAGACTGTTTAAACAGTTTAAAGTTGGTAGCAAAGATCAAAATTTGGAAAAAGTATACCAAGTATTTAGAAGTTGACACAAGCTTGTATTCCAAATTATGGAAAACTATTCCAAATTAGGGAACTATGAGAAAGCTCCAGTCCAAAAGCTAGACAAGTACTGAAAGCATGGTGCTGAACCCCAGCACAGCCAGACTGATCTCAGCTACATCTCACCTTGAGTCTACAGCAAAAGTACTTCACTTTTGGTGAGGCAGCCCTGATCCAGCCAGCTCGGGGCAAGAGAGTTCCCTTATAACTGCATTAAAATGAGGTGAAGACAAACCCTAAAAGATCCCTGATTTTAAATATGTTTATTCTTAATTTCACATTCTGAGTTTGCAATAGAAATCTCTAGCATTTACAATGAGCTACTCGTGGTTGATCTAATCCTACTGATTTTTAGGCAAAACTTCTAAGAAAGACACTGGGAAATCCAGTGGATATTGCAAGGCATTACAGTCAGGACTGTAATGGTATTACAGCCTTCTGTGACACTGAAATCCTTCCTAACAAGAAGTCTACAATACTGTTCTTCTACTTCATTTTTGTAATAGTTTTATATTAATTAATGTCAACATTGCTGATAAACAAAAGAACACAAGCATGAAACAAAATCATCTACAGCCCTTGAGTAGCTTGTATGATTACTAAGATCAGAAAAATTAAGAAGTGAAGACTGCATATAATATATTTTTCACAAGAAGGGTAGTGAAAAATTCTGCAAGTTAATAGAAATACACTGGAAGATAATAAATCTACACAGACTAACATTTATTTCTTTCAAGTGCCAAAACACAGATTTGACAAGTCAGCAAATTATCCAGTCAAGAAAAGAAGGAAATTCTTTCCCCACAATCCTGTAATCTGCTAAAATCATGGACAGTTTCAAAACTCATTTCAAGTAAGAATTGCTTTCTGTGCTCCCAATATTCTCCTAATATCTATAAAAGAGCCCATTTCCCATTATAGTCATGCTGAAATGCTTGGGAATCCAAGTGCAAGTAACAAACAAACTGTACAGTGAAATTACATGATGGCATCCTTCTTTCTTGACTGAAACTTGACTTAACTGACTTATCTGTTGTCCGTTTTAAGCAGAAACAATGTTTTTCTGCAGGAGACTTTTTTCTGGGGAGGAATGTGCGGGAGGAACTTACACCCAACTCACAGGTAAGACAGGGACATACTGAAAAAAGCAAGGAATGCTTGGGGGGGACACGTTATTAGAGCAAGCATGGATTTACTAGGAGGACATAGGAACTACAACATCCTTACATGTTATGGTCTATGCATCCCAGAAATAGCCACATGACTGAAATACTTCTTTCTACCCACTTTGTTGTCCCAACTGCCCCTTTATTAGGAAGTCATGCTTTAAAAGAATGAGTAGGATGTGAAAGTAAGAACACTGAGTTACAGATTAATAAAAGACATGATGCAGAAAGGAAAAGTCAGTGAGTTAAAGTTTAGGTGGTGTATTCAATGGTAAGCTGTAAAAGAATGTAGTAAGCTGCAAAAGGAGAATACTGCAAAAGAACACATTGCTTCTGTGAATGTTATACCAGCAGCAGCCATTTGTGGTTCCTTTCAGAAAATAAGTCATCTCACCTGTCTTTGGCAGAGGGTAGCTGATGTTAAGTACATCTTCCAGAAATGAAAATATTGGACCAGTGATACTTAAAGCATAGTCAAGATACCCATTTCCAATTGCTTCTTTCCGAGCCCAAATACGTATCTGCAATAACACAAGGGAGAGTTCTTTTAAACAACCCTCATATTTCCATTCTCTTTGTTTCTCTTTTGTGAATCATTGTTGGAAAAAATGCTGTCTGTCCACACCAAACCATGCAATGAAGCTTTTAATTTAATCTTTAAAAGAATCCAAGTTTTACTGGACCCAACAAAATGTGTCAAAGAACATGCTCCTGCTAAAACCTAGGAGAGTTCCGGTACTTTGAAAGGATGAAGATCTGAATCCAACTATACGTTGTTGGAACAAACGATCTCATAGTTTTTCTTTTTTTAAGTGGAAAATACTGTGAAACGATTTGGAATCACACATCTTAAGCCAATGTATGCCAGCCAGTGAGTTTGGGTGACAAGCTCTCTTTCAGCCCACCTAATGAGAGAGAAATGAACTTCCAGAGAGTGTTTGTGGTCCAAAGATACACATCTCTCCTCTTGAACTTTCTCACAGCCTGAAACAGACCACTGGCCTCCCTCTCTGCTAAGGAGAGCAGATGGTATCTGGGCAGAGAGCATCTGTACCTCTGAGTAACAGAAACTGTGGCTGCAAGCAAAGCTTTCCCCTCCTCTGCCCTTTTGTTTTGTACTGGAAAGGACAGCTCCTTGCTCAAGAGTGATGGAGTAGGCTTAGAAAAGGTTTGTCTCCGCCATATATTTCTGAATGAAAGACCCCCTCCACGTGCCTATCAGCTCAAAACCTCGACATTTCTTGCATCTAAGTGCTATACGTGGTCTCACAAGAAGCTGCACAGCCAAACGCTAAGAGCACAGTTGGGAAGCATTGGGATTTAATTTATAAGGGGAAAAAAAAAAGAGTGTCCTCAACCTCTGAGGCCCTCTTTTCAGCCAAGGCTTCAGAGGAGATTCAAAGACCAGATCACTTAATTTGCAAAACCTAAACATCTTAAAATCCTAATCCTCATATCAGCTTTGAGTTACAATATCCCTGTTTCAGGTTGGAAATTACTTAGCAGAAATGTCAAAAATAGGCACAAATGAATATGCTCACACAAATATTGTGGAGGCATAAACTGAGTATCTCCCTCTAAAACCAAGGGGTGAAATGCTGTCTTCCTTTATGTCACAGAACACAGGTGGTGCCTCTTCCCTCTGAATAAAAGCTCATTTGAATGCTCTGCTTTGCTAACTACTGTCAGTACACATCAGCCCAAGAAAAAGGCACCACAGCCATAGCTGTAAGCATCCAACAGGTTCAAGACAGAAGGTGACAGGTATGACATACCAAGTCCAATCTTCACTTTTAAAAAGAGCCAATACTGTGCTTACTAGGTGATCTGTGCACTGTCCTCTCATGTTGTCCCAGCTTTCCCCAGTAGGATGACAGTGAACCAACCATGCAGTTTTCTCATTTATTAAGGAGATCAAGTAAATGCTACCTTTAATAGCTGTATACTTGAATTTACTATTTATTTTGGAACAACTTGATACATCTTTTCCCTGTTGACTTTGACCAAAAGAAGGAAAGAGAAACAACTGGTGCCAATGCAGTACATTTTTTTACAGCTTCTCTTGAGAAGCTTTGGCCATTGTACAGTAAGAGCAAAACTGAATACTCATAGATGAAGAAGCTTCAAACACAAAACAGGGACTTCTGAAGGCTAAAAAAAATGCGACCACTACCGAATAAAAGGTTAAAATACTAGTATACAAAATGCTTGGAGCACAGTATTACTCTTAGTGATGTCATGGTGGTGGTCCTCAAGGGGTCTTGAAGAACAAGGCACTGAACATCAGTGTTTTGTCACAGCAGTGGAAACAGATATTTTTTCCGACTAAGACAGCTAAGAAAGTAAGAAGACCCTAAATTATGACCAGTACTTTCTGCAGAGTAGCTGCTCCAAATTTTTAACATACACAGCCCAAACCTACTTCTGCAGCTGTATGAAATGAACAGGACAAGACAATAAACTAATTGTCCTAAAGGAAATGTTTCTGCAGAAATATCTACAGGATAAATGTTAGCAGTTTTGCCACATAAGCAAATAGTTTTGGAATGGAAAACAGAGTTAATGTGTGTGGTATCTTCTAAAGCACATGATGCACCACAGAGCCAACTTCCGCTGTAAACTGCTATAACGTGTTATGCAGCCTCATATTTACCTTGTTTCCCCGCTCCGTTCTGGTGACATAATCAAAATCACAGACCACAAAAGCAGTCAAATAAGTCGACATTTTCAGTGAAGTGTTAAATGTGGTAACAGTCCATAGGCTTCCATTTTCATCCTTCATTTCAGATACATCTAGGAAAAAAAACCAAAAAAATATTCAAACCAATGCTCATCCATAATAAACAAGGAATTTTATGTTTTCTGCATGTTTTTTTACCCCTCTCTTCAATATGCTGTATTCCTGCACTACATTCTTCATATGTTTCTGACAGAAGGAAAGCAGCCAGACTCGTTGCTACCGACATGTATCAGAGTTGTGACCTTCCATGCAAACAGCAAAAATCCACTCTTGAGCTTCTTAAATGAAGTCTTGGAAGGATATCAAACTGTGTCAGTTTTAATATGTGAGCAAGCTGTGGACATTTTATTCCATGCTGCATATCTCTAAAACTGATATCTCTAAATCTGATCTATTATAATTCAAATACATGTGTGCCTAAGAATTATGAAACACTAAATCAGATATCTTCTTTCTAAATAAGAGGGATATGGACAGGATTCTCAGGGGTAGAAAATGCTTCCGGAAATTCTCACAGAGACCCCATCTATGTTCCTTAGTTACTTATCTTCCATGCAAATCTCGTAAAACTTACTTTTTATGGCTGAAATTATTTAGTTGAAAAATAGAGATTCATGGCATTGAACTGCAGAAAAAGGCTTTTAAGAAGAAGGCAAAAGACACAACAGATTTCTGTAGGAACACTAACGTAGTTTGGAACCTTATACCCCACAGACATCCCACATGAGATTCCAGAAAGGGACAGGAGTAGCGTCTCCAGAGCTTTATAGTGTACTTTTTCTAATTCTTCATATACACAGGAGGCTATAGTGTCTCTGCCCGGGAAAACAATTTTTTGTATGTTGTAAATATGTCTTAAAATCTACTTAGAATTAAAGGAATCCCTTGATGTCACAAATACAGCCTTGAATACTTGAGGTTGCCATTTGGTTTTAAAAAGATGTCACACATAAGACAGACACACGGACTAAAGTAAATAACAGGAATCAAACCCTATGCAGCCTGCAGCAGCCAGAGGAGAGCACATCACAACTAACAAAACTATTTGATGGACTTATTGCCATCAGAGACATTAATTATGAATAACAGTGTCCAAATGTTTAAGTTCATAGACACAGATTTTGTGTGCCCTTTGAAGACATTAGCACGTGGACAATACACTGTATCAGATGACATAGTCTGCTCAGATAAATTGCACCCTTTTAAAAAGTAATTTAGGGGAAAAAACCCCGTAAGTTGACTTGCTGTTTACCTACCAATAGCAGGCATGTTGGAAAGAGCCACATAGCTTGGGTCATGGACAATTCTGATATTGAATGTGGCCTTCATGGCAGGTTCATCAAAACATGGGTACACTCTCCTGGCAAATGCTGGTTCCATTTGGGAGGCAATGAGCACACTGTATTAAAAATACAAGTAAGATTAATCCAGCATGCTACAGCTCATCAAAATCCATATACAGCACAAAAAGACAACAAATCAGAAAAACCAGGAAGTGAATCATGTAAATATGCAGATTTGGAAAAGTTTTGCCTATTATTTAAAGCCATGACTAAATCTGTGTGCCCAACAACCAGTTCAGTTTGGATGCTTGTGGAGAAAAGCAGTCTTTTTTAATTAGATCTTTTTTTTTCCCCTCACAGGCCTTTTCCGGATATCATATTTTAAATATTTGAGCTTTCCTACTTTGTTTATTAAGACAGAATTGATTGAAGTTTTGCACACAGCAGACCAGTGCTCAAGAGATACAATGCCCAACTTTATTGTCATTAGAATATCTCTGTACACCTGCTGCTCTCCTTAACGCATGCATTCTTGTTAATTAATTACTGATATATTTTAATAAAAAATAGTAATAACTGTTAGTGAACTGTGTATGCTGCACTTGCACCCTTCTGTCAAATCCAATAGAGAAAAACCCCTGTGAAAACGGCATCAACGCTGTCCCAGTACACTGGCAAAACCAGAATAATATTCAAAAGGACCCTTTTGTACCTTATGCAAAGGAACTTTGCCTCAGTTGCCTCTGCGGCATACTGTGATGGATGCACTCGTCCTATTTGAACTAAGTAGACTTTGGTCCAGTCTGATGTTCACCAAGCAGATCTGACCAAAGTTAATCCTACTGTGTGAGACTGCCATTAAGAATTCAGCAGCAAATCAAAACCACAGGTCTGGATGGAGACAGGATTGATAAGTGGAGGAAAGTGCATCAGTAGCAGAAAAACTGACTACAAATCAACTACTTTACTGTAAATATCTCCAGCTATGAGAGTCTGTTGAGCTCTCCATCCATAGCACCTGTCTGCAGAGTGGTGATCTCCCCTCAAGGAGGTATGCCTCTCAAGGTTACCCTTGAGGCTGAAAGACCTTTTGTCTGACACCAGACATCGATGAGTTGGTGACATATTTGCATGCATGCAGCATTTAAGATATGTGTAAGAAACTTACACAATAATATTTGTATACTTTAGTGCAGAGCACTGACTACAAATCCATCTGTACACCTAAATTTACTGATTAGAACTTAATAAACTACTTGGACAGATCTGTTGGAGTGATCTCTGACTCTTCTCCTGCAACACACACTCATTGGAATCAAAGGATAAATTACTGTGTCTCGCAGCAGAAGTTTCAAAAAGTTGTACATCTGAGCTGTTCACGTAAGGGCATCCTTATCAAGAATTATTAAAAATACACATGCAATGGTCCTCAAAGCTCTATATGTGTCAGCCAAGTAGTAGCCAGCAACTGGGCACACAAGCATGGCCTAATCTCCTGTTTCAGTGACCTCAGTACTGACATGGCAAATATTTTTCATCTGTAGTTGAGGTGTTCCCTAACAGTGTATCCACACCAGGTTCACAAATGCTTATTCTTAGCACTGAGACATCCCAAACAAGCCAGGAGCCATCAAGATAGCATCCATACATTAAGTAGCAGTATGTAATGAGTCAGATCTGCACTACAGAGTGGAGTAACAAATCAGGTCTACCCTACAAGCACAGCATGACTATGACTAATTGTGACCTGTAGCACTGGTCAGAAGTCAGAAGTGCTTTCCAGCAAGGTCCCAAGGCTGGCCTACTAGGGCCCCTTTTCTTTTGAAAGATGTTCGGGTGCTGGCATTTTTAATAGCTGTGCTATTTAACTGTGCTCAAGGTTGATCAAATAATCCAGTGCTGAAAGTGGCATTTCCTCATCTATATCCACATTGCTGATGTTGGGGGAACTAAGTTAATATCAACAAGATGACTGTGTAAAAGCACTATACTCTTAGAACATGGTACATTTTGCATTTAACAGACATATCTGATGCTGTGCTATAAACATAACCCATGACCAAAGAACCCATATTGAGCGTGTTGTTGCACAGTGACTATTGAGACCACAATGCCTATTTTGAAGTGAGGAATAGTGTGAGAAGGAGCAGCACTTTGTATTTGACTTCTTGACTCTCGGTAAGGGAAGATTTTCTTTATGGACCCAATTCCCTGCAGAGTCAAATCTGTGCTGTACCAGCCACCAACTGCCTTGCCAAATGCAGCTGAAGCTCCACCTGAGACAGAAGTAGCACCTCTTCTCCTTTATCCTGTCCAATGATGGAAAGTGACAACCTTCTGCCAGGGTTGCACAGGAGCAGCAATAGTCATAGGCCACTTCATCTAGGAAGTCAATCACTGAAAATATCTTCTTCCTCCCATGGAGCAAAGTATGCTTTTGTTCATTCCTTTGTGCAATCAATTGCAGCTTGGTTCTAGGAAACACTGAGTAAATCCATGACTGTGAATTCCCCTGCATCAGTGCCATCACTGCCTCTGGAGGCTCTGTACTGGCAGCAACTGATGCAGACGCTTGGCAAATTTGCCCTCAAGAAATTCTTGTTCAAGAATACAAAATAGCATATTGTGGCCAAGGCAATGTGATAAAAAAGAAGTATGAGGACATATTAAATGTTGTTTTTCAGCAGGACTCCAGATAAAAAGGAAAAATAGGAATGTTTCATGCATATTACGCAAATAACTGGTGTTTAAAACACATATTACCTCATATAATTTGTCAGAATAGACAATAGTTGGAGCTTTTTTTCTTGTGGGTTAGTTTGTTTGTTGGGGTTTTTTTCAAGGTGAAGGTATTAGCATGAACCGAATCACTAGCAATTTTTTTTTAACACACTGCACTATTATCACAAAACAAATTGCCCAAAAGGAAATAATTTTTTCAGAAAGTCTAACAATGCTCAAGTAGACAAATTAATCCCTCCCTTAATCTACAGTTTTGCACATAGATTTCATTTTCTTTTTTCATAAGGATCATATAATACCACATGATACTTTCAAATAATGAGAAACAAACAGATAAAAGGATCTCTTAGCCTAAATATTAGACAATTTATACTACGCATAAATTGTAGTATATGTAGGTTCTTATTTTTTTTTTCAGTTACTGCCTGAAAAAAGAAAAGGAAAATGAGGAATACGTTCTGCATAGTACATGAATGCCTAGTAGATCACATTTCACCTGATTAATAAACAGGATAATTGTAGATGAAATGTTTTATTTGATGCAAAAAAGGAGACATTCTAAAAATGCTTTCTCATGAGTTATTTTTCATACTGATAGCATAATTGGTATTTGTGTTAACATCTTTTATATTTAATTTCTTCCATTTTTACAAACATAAAATAATTAAACTGTAAAACAAACCCTGAAGTGGCTAAAAATAAGGGAGTTTTACAGTGAGTAGAATCTTGTCCCCAACACCCAAACATTTTTTTCAGGTGAACAGTGCTTGATACTAACAAGCAACACAAAGAAACACCAAACATCTTACTTGTTCTGATTTCTGTCTCACTCCTTTGATGGTCTCACTCACAGAGTCATAGAAAACAGAGCTAAGAAGAACTGCATATCCTCTGCTCTGAGGCAAAATTAACTGTACTAGTGCTGTTCTAACCCCTTTACTCTCATCCTAGCAATTGGTGTAGAAGCAACTGATAAAAATCTGTGCAAACATTGTGTTTGGATGTTGTGTTGGGACGCCTGTTAATACCAGCCCTATCCAGTCAAGTATTTTATAGAAGTTGCACAGGAAATGAGCAGAGTGGCTACCAAGTAAAATTCTCAAAGGATTTTGAAACATTGACCTGAACAGTGACCTGCATACAGCCTGCACTTCATCGTACACCCCACAGGAACCCTCTAATCCTGGAGTAGCACCCACAAGCTCATCCACGGCCGTGCAAGATCTCTGTGCAGAACGACAGAAACAAAACTCCTGCATCATGTAAGTTTGAGCCAGCAGTGCTAGAGAAGGAGAGCAAAGGTGGTTTCTGTATCTTTTTGCCTACCCAGATCCTGGTATGGACTATCACAGCTATATGCAGAATACTGATTCTTCATTTCAACAGGAGAGCCTTCAAACACTTAGTGCTGGAGAAGTGGGAGCATCTTTCCTTTTCACTTCCTTTGCTTCTACAAGCAGTGCAGACATGGACTGTTCATTATCCATAACAAGTGCTCCCATTTTTCAGAGTTATCTTTCGTGGGTAAGACCTGATCAGGTGGGCAGTACAAATTGTCAACAACAGTAAAACATATGCAGTCATCAATGATCAAACTGATAACTAAAAATTTCTTTCTTGAAAATTCAGCAAAATTGGTTTATTATGTTTTCCATGGAGGTCAGGTTAGGACTTCTGAAAATAGCTGTTTCTGTGAAACCACCTTGCCAGTGTACAACAGCTCTGACTTCAAGAAAAGACAGGGAATGACACTTTGCGTCAACTCGCTCATTCTGCCAGTCTACCAAGAGCAATGGGGATATCTGACTGAGAAATATGACAGTGCCAAAGTCCAGATGGAACAAACATTTCAGGGATTTCACATCTCATTAGGATCAAGGTGCCTACCAAAAGCTTGCACTTATCTGCTTAAACTCTTCTGAGACGAGAGGTCTCTAGGGTTCCACAAGCACAAATTACAAAACCCACTAAGACTTCTAGTGCATGCAAGAAATACAGGAGTCTGCATGACCACAGATAGATGTCACACTGTCTGTTACAGCTGGCAGTTCAAGTGAGGTTTGAAATCAGAAAACCTCTGCAAGAAGCAGACCCTGCAGGTCTGTTGAAGACTGGTATAAGTCACTTTAGAAAAGCTATGGGACAGTCTGCTGGAGATGGTTTCCTTGCAGAACAATAACTGGGTAACTGGCTTTGTACAGATAGCCAAAGGGCACTGAATGTTTTTAAATCGCTCCTGATCTATGCAATCCATTAGAATCCAACTTTTTCCATTGTTAATAGCTTGGCAGAGCTTACATATCACTCCAAACCTATCTCCTCCAAAATAAGAATGCAAAACCTTTCAGTGTTAGTGGACGCTATCAGATTAGGAAA